AGAGATATCCTTCGCACGTAGTAAGTCGAAGAAAAATGTACACATCTGGTGTTCGGAGGCAGGGTTATGAATTGGAGGTTTTGGAGGATGCCCTGATCCAAGCATATCTAATATCTGCCCCCATACCTTTGTGGAAAGGACCACTGGACGGTCAGAGGGGAGAGGAGCAGGAGCGATGAAACCGAAACGATGGAAGGCAATGTCATCAACAGCATCGTAAAACAGCACGACACTTGTCGGGACTTGTGTCTGGCCATGAAGGCGGTCAATATAAGACTGGGATGAGGTACACCCAGCAGTATGATCGAGAACATCGTCTGTTGGACAAAAGATGTCATCTTCCTCATCATCAAAGCCTGGCTCATAACTATCGTTTGGATCTAGATCTGTGGACACCTCCCATTCATCAGCCACAGAATCATAGTGTCGCCGGTTAGGTCCATATCTTTCCCAAATACTTTTGTAGTTCCTCTGCCTGCAGCACACCGTTCGGAACTCTCACTCCCTCAACCAGATCCCAATAATAGACACAAGCCCTCTCCGGCCGGGAGGTTGGTCTTTCTGGGCATTTGCTTCTTGTTGTAGTCAAGACTGGCGGTTGACAGGAGTCTCAGAGGCTATAGATTTTATCCTATGCTCCTCTTGACGCTTGATGAATGTATGAATGTTTTCATTTGCACGTGGTTGAGTTCCACCTGTGACTCGGGGAATGCATAGCCCAGGATTTGCGACACGTGAGACATCCATAACGACGGACAGGAAGACATAAGGAGCAACGTTAGACTTAACATTGGACAAATTTGGTGCAGAAATAAGCAGAGCCAACGCTTTTGGTAGTTCTGATTTGTACCATGTTTCTAGAGTACCCCAGCACAGCACCAAAGGCATATTAGCCTCAAGAAACACAGGAATCAGCGGAATGCAACTGCGGTCGTTGACGTTCATGAAGACCCCCGCCATTGGCATTTCCATGATTTGGTAAAAGTAAGAAAGCCACTCCGAGCTAATGGATGTCTCTTTTTGCAAACACTCCTGCCATTCGAATTTCGAAGGAACCAGTCCACAACAAAGTTTGGCGTACTCATTCTGCCTCGCGCTCCAAAATGGATTTGGGTCAGGTAATTGAGTTGTACAATTCTCAAACAGTGCAACCCACTTCTTTTCCATATGATACAGCATTTTAAGAAAGAAGGATATGGCCGCTATCAGCAGAATGAAAGCTTGCCGAGATCTCGACGCCGCCCATCGAGCCAGTTTCTCTGTCTCCCAAGCGAAGCAATATCCAAATTGTTGAGGATAGAACCAGAACCGGAAATCATGGGTTAATCCTAGGGGATTAACGTGCCTGCATGCGCCAAGGAAAGCTCTCATATTCCGTTCTAAGGAATCCCAGTCGTCTCTCAAAGATGGATTGAGAATGTAACAGCCACTTTCGTGATGCAATTCAATGGGCAACATGTCAATGTTGTAATCAAGACATTGTAGAAATTGACATTTAAAAGGATTGGAGCTAGGTGCAAACCCCAAGAAAGGCAGAGAAGAGACGAACCAACCAGGTAGATCAAAACGAGGCAGAGCTAGGGCATGATAATCGGGATCTGGAGGTTGAGTTTCAGGAGGAACCATCGGGTAATTGTGAGGTTTTGGACCAACAAACGTGAAAACTCGAGGTGGAACGGAATCATGTAGAGATTCAGCTTTGACTTCGATTAAGGCGTGGATGGAAGGTTTCATGTCTGGTTTACAGGTTGCAATGCGATACTCCATTGTGTCTTATAAGGTGAAAGGATTTAGATGATGAACAAATCTTTGCAGCTGTATTACCTGATGCTTGAGTGGGTGAAAGTTTTTCTTTTAGTCGAACCAAAAGAACAAACTGAAAAACGAGAAACAATAACAGACTAAGAATGAGAAATGTTGAAAATGCGGCGCGGCACAGTGGCCGGATATCTAATCTCTGTCACCTGATCGCTGATAAGTAAGAGCCAAAGCGTCCCAAAGCGCGCCTGCATCAATAATATCATTGAATTGCTGCAGGACATCCAAGAGGTCATCTGCCTCTGCCTACTGCTGCATAACGGTTGGAAGAGAGTTCTGGATTCAAGCTTGGTGCATTCCTGTTTCCATTTGCCTTGCCACACAAAGGTCCGTTAACTATCGAGTGAACTGTCGAGTTGGATTGGTGTATTTCATATTTGCTGAGGGACAACTAGCGTCCATGGATAATAAAAGAAGTAAAATTGTGGGTGCGAAAGAAAATGTTAATGTTCTTCGTTTTTCGCTACATATATTGATCGCACGGGACATTCAGAAAGAAAAAATTTGAGGAGGCTGATAAGTACCAGACGCCTTCATGAGCCGAGGCTTCCCGAGATCTGTTAATCTTGATCTTCAGATCTCCATTGTCCGCCGTTATGATAGACAGAGGGTAGGGTAGGGTGGGCCAGTTGTAGGATACATCTTGTGTTTCGTACAATGTTAATGGCTTAGTGGACGTAACTTCCACCACAGCACGAGGTGGCAATCAGTGAAAGCCATGATGGTTGCTGAAGATGAATTTCATTCGTCAATACACAAAACCGAATCCCATCTGCCTGATGACTGATACATATCTCCACCGGCTGAGCCTTGTTAATGTACTTACTTCGCAATATCTCTTGATAGACATGGTTGGCCATCTCAGTCTTTCTAATGGAAGTAAATTCATCAGAACCAGCATGACAGTCAGACCAAGTGCTTATCAAACAATCAGCTAATCAGTCTGCATTCTCAAGTGGAGGCGGCTCTGTTAGGCTACCGTTTAAGTTATATGAGATATGCTTCACGTCAAAATACACAGGACTCTCCAATAACCACCATCTTTGCATTCAGATTTTTTACATGGCTACCACATCACCTCATCACATTGAATCTATTCCTCCTCCTAACATGGATTGCACGTGTCCTCTTCCCACTGAAGTGGATCAGGTACTTGCAACAATCAGGGTGCTGTCTGCCTATTTATCGCCAATCCCCAGCTTCCAAAGTCGCTATAATCTGGTGAAGGTGCACTGGCCCAAGATTTCCCCTTGGATCATCGCTCTTCTACGCACGATGGATCATTACAAAGACCCCAGTAGAATTGTCAACAAGATTGTCCTCGATACTTGGGGCCAATTCATAGTAGTCATCTATGATTTTCTAGATATCACTATTGGCAACTCCTCTCCATCCGAAAACTGGCATTTTACAGTCCAGCTAGAGTACACCCCGGGTATCATCGAGGTATTAGCCCAAACGTGGGTCTTTGCCCTCATAATACCCTGGGAAGCGCCGGTGCTTGAGGCTATAGTCGATTTTTTTGCTTGATTCTTCATTGATGTTTACGAGAAGAGGCCGCACCTCAAAGACTTGCCACAGGTGGTGACAGAAGTTTGCCCCTCTCTCTCAGGCTTTTCTCTTTTCAAGGTGTGGATAAAGGCCTCCCACGAGTTCAGCAATTGGAGTTCTGCTTCGCATCATCAGATGAAAAGTCAGGGACTCCTACTAGTCATAACTGGATCACATTTTTTTCAAGGGCAGACACTAGATACATCTAGATCTTTGATGAGCTGTATGCGCCGCGTATGGGCTCACCAGATAAAATTCCCCGAATCCCAGTTCTTATCGGCTGTTCAGCTCACAGCCAAGTTCTTTCTGTTTCTGATGTCTGGTGGTCCAAAGTGGACATTGCACGCACTTAATGTCCATATTCTATACCTTTTGCCCAAGACCCTGACTTGGCTTGATCATTTGCACCACTCTGACAACCAGGACCGACCGGCCATTGAATCAATCAGTCCCCAGATATGTGATGCCATTTGTGGGATTCTGACCATCGTTCTCCAACTTTCTGCCTATGAGCATGTTGCATGTAAGGTCCATAGGTGTATCACAAACATCAGGTCCCCAAATATCAGTAGCCACCTAGCATCTCCAGTCTGTGTTGCCCTTTGGCATCACTTACAGAGGGTAGCATATGACTCGAAGGGTGCATCCATGCGTTCTCAGTGTCACAGCAAAGTGTTGGAGACATGTAGCAATGAGAATGTAAGTGCTCAATCACATTAATATAAGGTTTCTCGCTTCATGTACTTGGATTTTACAGTGTAGCCAAACTGGTCGTTTTCATCGCTCGAAGCTTTGTAGTGGATCTCAGGCTGTAGGCTATTGTGGACGTTTTTGTCAAAAGGAAGATTGGCATGCAAATCACAAAGCAGTCTGTTGGAAACTCAACAGACAGCGACTGGGTAAGTCACAGTTAGTAAAGCTTCATGTACAAGACTATCTTTATCATGTGTGTTAGACCACTGCATTGGGCCAACATTTATTCCTCAATATCTGCTCATAAATACTCGCAAACAACACTACTTTATATTGAGAGCTGTCGCTGAAATTAAAATTCTCCATGCCGATGAAATATCCCGTTGGATCACCTCCAAGAGTCTGCGAGTCTGGGTGCGAAGAACATTCTAATTCAATTTGACATATCTGTTTACCCATCGAGATGGGAGGTGGTTTTGCAAGAGCAGATTCTGTTGTTGGTTGCATGAACTCGCTCGCAGTTTGAAGGGGAGGATACTCTTATCGGGGTCAAGTTTCCTTTGAATTCCGAATACAACGATTTTGTTGTACACGCAGTTCACCGAAATACTCTACTTCAAGTCAGCGCTGATGGTCTAGGTCATTGTAATTTGGGTGATTTTCTTGTTCACTAAGATATCAGACTTTGTTTTGGGGCTTGTGCAGAAGTCAGGCTGCGGTTACGTTGGGATCTCTCACCTCGCCGTCTCCGTCTCCCGTTTTCTCCCAATCTCCCAGTCACCTTCTATTCTCCTCCTATCAACTGATCAGTCTCTTGTCAGCCTTCTAAAGTTAGATGATACTGCTTCGGCTTTATATGTTGTTGAGATAAAATCTATAGAACTAACGTAGCAAACCGGTCAAACAGTCAAAAACCTAAATATCCTCAAGAGGAATATGTCCTGATGGTGTAGTGATTAACACAACATGACGTTGTTATTTCTTGTAGAGAATCAAGCAATTATATTATGTAGACAGGGGTTCGATTCCTCTTCAGGACTAAACGCATATTTGTTGCCAAAATCTTTTGGGAAAACCAGAGTGGTCACGGAAGCTTGAGCAAGGTGGAGGAAAACGCCTTTATTATGGTGACGCGCTGACAAGTGTACAACATAATTGATATAAGCTACATTCTACAAATGCTATTTCTTGGCCCTTGGTTCTTTTTTCTTTTTGGCTCGTTTTTCCCGCTGCACGAAGATTTTCTTGGTTTCTTCTGTAAGTAAGGTTCCTAGTGTAAACGAAACACCAGCATCTGTGTAGTCCGTATTTCCATCATACAAATAGTCTACCAGCACGTCTTCAGTAAACTTCTTCTTCTCTCCCCGTGGTATACCCAAGTAATGGCCAGCCACAAAAATGGCAACTTCACAAGCGATGTCCTTGTATATCTTTGAAGCTTCGTCGAGCACTTCTTGATCTTCCCTGTTGAAGTATTGAGTGGGGAATAAAATCATCAAGCAGAGCGCGCCGATTGCTCGTCTGTAAAACACTATGTAGTAACAATTCAGAATACATTTGAAGGAGGCATTCAAGAAAGTTACCTCGTTCTGTATGCCCATGTAGCGTCAGAAGCATTTGTTCAAGTGTTTCGTAGGTGCCGATGTGTTCTTGGTTTGTAACGGTACCTCGTGAGAGATGCTGAATGCGACGCGCAGTCTCTGTCAAGTGCATTGTGTCATAGCCATAGGAATGAGAACTGAAAGCTACACATGGAGCAGGTGTGTAGACCAGATGAAGGATGGAGGGCGGTTGAAAGCTGTTATTTATTAGCTTGATACTGGCGTAGGCATAATAACTTACAAAATGTCTCCAGGGCGTAGATATATTAACTCCACATTCCAAACCTCAGACCACGTATCTGGGCCTTGTGTTGGAAACAATGGAACCTTTTTCGCATTGTTCTTGGCTTTCTTGAAGCCTTTGAGCCATTGGTGGTACTCTTCAGCACTTGAGGCGATCATGCTAGTCACGTCTTGGAATTTTTCAGCCAGTTTCTCCATGGGTAGCTTAGCCATAGATGGATCCTTCAGTGACAAGCCAGCCCAGATCTTTGGTTGGGGGTCATTCCGGTCACCCGTGACCTGTCCTCCAACTGCATAACCTGCGGTGTCTATATGGGGGTATGTGAAAGTGCCTGCCATGTGTAGCAACCCCCATTTTGAAGCTAGGTGATTCGAGAGATATGACGGCTTACTCCTCACTCGATACAACATATCAGAGTTCATTTGCTCCACAGAAATCTTGCCATCATTTAGGAGGCTAATAAGAAGAGTGAACACATTACATCAGTCAGAGCCCATCAACGTACTGGAAGGGATGAGGAATAGTTTCAATGGCAACAGGGAAGTCTAGAAGCATATGGACCTTACTTGGTTGTTTCATGTCGTGCAGGAATGTAGGTTGTCCTGGGTCCCTGGCCCTAAGCTCCATATCTGTGCCACGCCGTTAACAGATTGTCTCTGGAATTTGAAAACAATTTTTACCATGGTAGGTGATAGCTTGAGCTTGACTGGAGCCAGCTCCCAGTACATAGGTAATATCTTCCAGCGTGTCTAACTGTCTTGGGCCCACAGGCGCCACTGCATTTGGAAGAACGACAACAAAAGATTTCGCCATAAGGCTACGGATATCTTTGATCAGGGAGGCCGGGCTACTGTAGGATTTGGCATCGAGATAACGAACAATTGACTGCTCTGGTGGTGCTATATTTGCAGGATTCGCCATCCACTTCACCGCTTTGGCATCCTATAATTACTGTCAACACTGATTCACTGGTAATCGGAGCACTTACTGCCTCTAGAATATTTCCGGAATGCGATTCGTGTCTTAACTCTGGTAAGATAGTCTTCCACCCATTTGGCCATACTTGAATTTCTGCTTGCTCTCCCATGTGCAACCCCAGGATTTCGGCGGTAAAATCAGTCGGTTCAAAAACCAGGTCAGAGTAATAATGAGGCCTACTGGAGTAGTAGGTGGACGAGAATTCGACCGCACAATCGGAGGTGAGATGTAGAGATGGGAGAATCTGGAGTTGGAGTGAGCATTGAATCAGAGCCGAAAATTTCGTGCAATTGTACAACCACTGAACCTGGACCCACAGATTCAGTCTCAAGGATGAAAGGAACGGTTGAGGTTGACAGTATGGGTTCTGCCACATTGGAAAGGATAGGAGCAGTTTCAGTAGGATCAACAAAGAGTGAGGCATCCAACTCGGTCTCTAAATGTGATGTTGAAGGATCTGACAAGCTCGGTGTGCATCGAGACGTCGATAAGTGGAGTTTTTCACCAAGTGTAACATGGGTATGGGCATGGATCGGCAAAGGCGATGCCAAATCCAACATAGGACCATCGCTAATATTGACAGGAACATCTTGAAAAGGTAAACTCTGGGTGGGTTTTGGAGACTGGACAAAGTGACTAATGGACGAGCTGCCGAAACCCATGGATTCAATCTTGTCTGATGGGTGATCATCTATATCTCGGACTGGATCGTAGTAATGTTTCATGCGAAAATGTGGTTGAGGAGAGTCTCCAGTCATGAATGAAGATGAATTGTGATTCATGACAGGGGAAATTGACTGTGTACTTGGGATGTAGTCAGGGGAAGTGGCTGCATAGTAATTATTAAATGACGATGATGTTCTGTGATCGACAGACTGCATCCACTTGTTATGGCTGGAGAATGACTTTGGCTCGAGATCCCCATGATTTTGACTGAGCCCCGACTGCCCAGGCTCATTCAATGACCTGACTTCATAGTCACCAGCTTACCGAAAGCCATTTGGAGCGCCCCACCCGCGCAAGTAATCAACTGAAGGTCGTCTCGATGATGCAGGTCCAAAACCACCATGATGCCCAGGAATTACTTTGAAATCTCCATGGTTTTGGACAGAAAATGAGCTCGCGTGATCAGTGGAAGGTAATCTCAAAAGGCTTGCTTCAGAATTGCCGTGACACTCTAGAGCTTGATATTCCTCTTGTTTGGCGTAACGTGTTGTCTCAAATTCATGACGATAAGATGAGTTTTCAAACTAAGAAATCGTCATTTGGATAAAACGAAACACTCAAAGTAAGACCAACCTCCACTGAAGGCATTTGGGTTTGCATCAGGTCAATATTTTCGTATGTCAAGGTCTGTGAAGCAGTGACATCTGTAGGCGCGGTAGCCTTGAGCTTACTGTGTCCGGGGTTTTCATCATGTTAATTACTCCAGGAACGAAAGCTTTTACTTACCAATAATAGTTGGCATTTGCTCTTTTGTTTTGCTGCCTTATACATGTAGCTTTTGTTTTACTTACGATCGTGTTAGCACTCCGGCACTTTCGGTCAAAGGTAAGCTTTTACTCTCGCATCGCTTTCTGTTTCCATTTTTTTTGACTTGCTTTCTGTGCTTCGGTTTTGGGCATCTTAATCTGACGTATAATGGCAAGTAGTAGTAGTGCGAGAACTTTTAGAGTCTTACCCCAAAGTTTGGCTCAGATACTAATAGAGGAATTAAGTCGAAGTTCAAAGTTCATTTTGCCCATCACGTGCTTTAGCGTCATGCGAGTCACGTGTTAAGAGCAACGCATGTTAAGCGCATGGATTGATCACTTAATTATAATAAATGTCGAGTGCCATCGCCCCAAATTCCACAATGGATCCAGATAACCCATCTTTCGAGGTGGGCCTATACTAATTTCTACAGTCGATTACACGATATATCTTCCATAGCCAGCGGTAGATCCTTCAGACAGGGCAACGAGTCCGGTAGTAAGATTACATGTTCGAATAGCTCACGGTTGCTCATTGCTTTGAACCAAACCAGCACGACATTGTCGAGGATTTTGCACAAATTTCTCTACCTCAAGATAGTTTTCTGCCTCCCAAAGCCTCGGACTATCCCGAAAGCCAAGAGGTTAGGCTCATTGCTTTCCAGATCGTGTTTTGACAAGGTTATAGTCTACGTCTATAAATGCGGATATAGAAGAGGTGGTAAGTGACCCAATTCCGTCTCTAACATGTGTCAAGTGCCCATTCCCCCCCCCTTCACAGGAACCTGAACCAGACGATCAGACACCAAAAGAGGCAAGCAAACGCGTTAATACACGCAATATTGTCTGGTTTTGAGAAGATTATAGTCCGCAATTGTACAAGCACAACCAGAAGAGGTAAGTATAACAATGCTTCTTTATATCTTTCTGCTGACATAGGTGTGCTCGCTGTTCTTGTAGACTGACGCAGACAATGTGATGCCAAAACAGGTGAGTGTGTGCTAGCATCCTCAATAACTTTATAATCGCCTCCATTGTTTCCGTTGTTTCCTAGAAAATGTTGGGCGCAAGTCGCACGAAACCCAAAGAGGCAAGAACATCTCTCTACGTCTCATTTTTTGTTGACAATTCTTTGCAGGAAGTCACCAGTGCTCCAGCGGCTCAATGGAGGACCGTTTTCATCCCAGATGAATTAGCGGTAGGCCTCGGATTTCTATTGTTCTTATGCTGGTAGTAATATCTTGGAGGAAGGAAGCGCCTTCTCTTCAGGAATACCACGATGCAATCAAGAACACGGAGCTTCAAGTTGGGTTTAGTTTCTTGTCATTTTGATTCAGTTTTTACTCCTAGCTTCAGTGGACAGGTAAGTCTTGCTTCATGATATATTTGCAACTAGTTTCATTATTTCATAGACTGCCTCCGAGACTCACGAATCATCAGTGCGTAATTACAGATGAGCTTCAACCATGCAGTTAATCAATCACTCACTCACGATATGTAGCCCTCAGCCTGGCTCCCTGGTCAGAATGCAGAGCTATATTCTAGACCATCTGAATCCAGGACTGTAAGTGTCACAGATAGGCACGCGTACGATGGCTCCTCAGATCTTATATCACTCCAGTTCGTGGCTTCTGGAGAAAGCGATTGGAAGCTTAAGCCTGCACCCTTGTCACCCTGATGAATTAAGGAACGCATGAAACAGCGTGCGAAATTAGATCAGTCTACCCAAAATTTTGCAGAAGAAG